TTAATTTTTTATGTCATCTTAAATATTATATTAATTATGAAGAAATTCGATAGTGAAATACAAGGGTGGAATACATGGGTGGAATGCGAGGTTGGAATACAAGTAAATCCACGTCGAAACATCAAGATCACAAGAAGAACCCTAAAAACCGAAAGATCAAACTAGAACTGCACAAACCAAATCTATTAAACCAAAACAGCCATCTCCACCTCCAACAAAGCCAATCGCTAACCAACCACTGAAACACCAAACTTGAAACCTTTGCTTCAAAACGGAGAAATCATTGCAGAGATAAAAGAGATGAGGTAACTGCAAACGCACTCGGGATGAATACACCAAAGCCCAAGGCCAAAGCTAAACCAAATAAGAGTGACAAAAACCAAATAAACCAGGAAGAAGATATCACCAACAACTAAGATTATAACCCAATCAAATTCTATGCTTCTTCATATTGATATTCAACCCAATACTCGAAAGAAAACTGTTGATATGCATTGCCGATAGAAGAATTAATTGGAAAATAGATAGAGAGGAAATTAAACTATTAAGCGAGGGAAGTCAGGCTCAACACCATCTTCTTCTTCACTAGAAAAGAGACACTCAAAATCAGCACCAAGACAAACCTTCAATAAGATCATGAGATAACGAAGGCACATACACTAAACCAACCAGATAGGAGAAAGAGAATGGACTAACAAACCTAGAAAACGCAGCTGTCCTACACAAGCACAAGACCTCAAAACTTTTCATCGTTGGTTTAGTCTACGACAATAGGAGGCAGACATTGCTCGAGGACAATAACGACCTCCTCCTTCTCCCTTGTTAAGCTCCCCCTTCGCGGTGGATCATTTTCCAGACTACCTTTCTTCCCTCTTTTGGAGATGAAGCGGCTCTTCAACTTCGCCTAACTTATGGTGGTTCTGGTTTCTTCTATCCCGTTAGACGGCTACCAAGATCTGGAAGATCTGTGGCTCAAAACAGCTCATGATTGTCTCGATGACGCATATATGTGGCTAAAATCGCCCTCTTGTCTTCGGAGACTATGGATGGTCTTTCATCGGGGATAATATCGGTCTTCATTCTCTTGTCGGCTAGGTTCGGTAATGGCTACAACACATAACTTTTGGCATCGGGAATATCTTTTCCATAGATAAGCTTGCCAGAGAGTTGAAGATGGAGGCTTCTAGCTTGTCTACGAGGATCGGATGAGAGGCGGTTTCTACGATGATCAGATTGAAACTCGGTTAATGGTCTTTGCAGCTTTTCATAAACTTATGGTGGAGTCCGTAAGTGGTTTGGAGGTTCATGTAATCGCTTTTATGCAGATTTAATTGTTCTCACGAAAGCTATAGGCGCTGCTTGATTAAAGGTTTTGAGAACTGGTCTTAGATTGCAATTAGCTCGTGGAAATTTGAGGACTTTCATGAGTTTAAGAGATGTGTTGGTTGATAGAGATGCAAATTTTTTGATGTTTCATGTCTACTAGTGTCTGCAATGTTTCTATTGTTGGTTTTACGTGTTTAGTT